TTATATACACACTGCATAACAGGGGCGGACTGAGAGCCTTTGGGGCCCCTGGGCAAAATTAGATCCCAGGCCCTTTGAAGGCCAAATAGATGTGCATTAAATAAATGTTAAATATAACTCATAATACAGCATTCCTTTGGATGTAAAGACCTGTGTATCAATGCATGTTTGTATTTGAGTCTGTGTGAATGCACTTGTGCATGTCTGGATGACTACATGTGCTTTTTTGTATATAGTGTCAGTGTGAATGCATATGTGACAGGTGACAGAGTGTGTGAGGGAGAAGGTGACAGGTGGAAGAGTGTGGGAGGTTGTGACAGGTGGCAGAGTGAGGGGGTACCTGGTGGCAGAGTGAGGGAGGGAGGGGTTGAGTGGTGGCAGAGTGAGGGGGAGACACAGTGAGGGGGGGTGACTGGTGACAGAGAAAGGGAATGGGTGACTAGTGACAGAGTGAGGGGATGACTGGTGACAGAGGGAGGGAGTGACTAGTGACAGAGTGAGGGAGTGACTAGTGACAGAGTGAGGGAGGGGGTGACTGTCACTAGTCACCCCATCCCTCTCTCTGTCACTAGTCACTCCCTCCCTAATTCTGTCACTGTGTCACCCGCTCCCTCACTCTGTCACTAGTCACCCCCTCCCTCACTCTGTCACTAGTCACCCCATCCCTAACTCTGTCACTAGTCACCCCATCCCTAACTCTGTCACTGTGAGGGAAGGAAGGGGTGACTGGTGACAGAGTGAGGGGATGACTGGTGACAGAGTGAGGGAAGGGATGACTAGTGGCAGAGTGAGGGAAGGAAGGGATGACTGGTGACAGAGTGAGGAGATGACTGGTGACAGAGTGAGAGAGGGGGTGACTAGTGACAGAGTGAGATAGGGAGTGACTAGTGACAGAGTGAGAGAGGGGGTGACTAGTGACAGAGTGAGGGAGGGAGTGGGTGACTAGTGACAGAGTGAGGAAGGGGGTGACACAGTGACAGTGAGGAAGGGGGTGACACAGTGACAGAGTGAGGGAGGGGGTGACTAGTGACAGAGTGAGAGAGGTGGTGAATGTCACTAGTCACCCCATCCCTCCCTCTGTCACTAATCACCACCTCCCTCACTAGAGTGAGGGGTGACTAGTGATAGAGTGAGGGGGTGACAGGTGACAGAGTGAGGGAAGGGGTGACTAGTGACACAGTGAGGGAGGGTGACTAGTGACAGTGAGCGGGGTCATCCCCTCACTCTGTCACCAGTCATCTGCTCACTCTGTCACCAGTCACCCCTTCCTCCCTCACTCTGCCTTCCCTCACTCTGTCACCAGTCATCCCCTCACTCTAGTGACAGAGTGAAGGAGGGTGTGACTAGTGACAGAGAGAGGGAGGGGGTGACTAGTGAAAGAGTGAGGGGGTGATTAGTGACAGAGTGAGGGAGGGGTGACTAGTGACAGAGTGAGGGAGGTGTGACTAGTGAGGGAGGGGGTGACTAGTGACAGAATGAGGGAGGGGTTGACTAGTAACAGAGTGAGGGAGATGGTGACTAGTGACAGAATGAGGGAGGTGGACACTGTCACTAGTCACCCCATCCCTCCCTCTGTCACTAGTCACCCCTTCCCTCACTCTGTCAGCAGTCATCCCCTCACTCTAGTGACAGAGTGAAGGAGGGTGTGACTAGTGACAGAGAGAGGGAGGGGGTGACTAGTGACAGGGAGAGGATGACTAGTGAAAGAGTGAGGGGGTGACTAGTGACAGAATGAGGGAGGGGGTGACTAGTAACAGAGTGAGGGAGATGGTGACTAGTAACAGAGTGAGGGAGGTGGAGACTGTCACTAGTCACCCCATCCCTCCCTCTGTCACTAGTCATCCCCTCACTCTGTCACCAGTCATCTGCTCACTCTGTCACCAGTCACCCCTTCCTCCCTCACTCTGCCTTCCCTCACTCTGTCACCAGTCATCCCCTCACTCTAGTGACAGAGTGAAGGAGGGTGTGACTAGTGACAGAGAGAGGGAGGGGGTGACTAGTGAAAGAGTGAGGGGGTGATTAGTGACAGAGTGAGGGAGGGGTGACTAGTGACAGAGTGAGGGAGGTGTGACTAGTGAGGGAGGGGGTGACTAGTGACAGAATGAGGGAGGGGTTGACTAGTAACAGAGTGAGGGAGATGGTGACTATAACAGAGTGAGGGAGGTGGAGACTGTCACTAGTCACCCCATCCCTCCCTCTGTCACTAGTCACCCACTCCTGCACTCTGTCACTAGTCACCCCCTCCCTCTGTCACTGTGTCACCCCATCCCTCCCTCTGTCACTAGTCACTCCCTCCTTAACTCTGTCACTAGTCATCCCCTCCCTCACTCTGTCACCAGTCACCCCCTCCATCACTCTGTCATTAGTCACCCCCTCCATCACTCTGTCACTAGAGTGAGTGGATGACTAGTGACAGAGTGAGGGAGGGGATGACCAATGACAGAGAGAGGGAGGGAGGGGGTGACTAGTGACAGAGTAAGGGAGGGTGACTGGCAACAGAGTAAGGGAGGGAAGGGGTGACTAGCGACAAAGTGAGGGAGGGAAGGGGTGACAAGCGACAAAGTGAGGGAGGGAAGGGGTGACTAGTGACAGAGTGAGGGAGGGGGTTACTAGTGACAGAGGGGGTGACACAGTGACAGAGTTAGGGAGGGAGTGACTAGTGACAGAGGGAGGGATGGGGTGACTAGTGACACAGTGAGGGAGGGGGTGAGACAGTGACAGAGGGAGGACATGACTAGTGACAGAGGGAGACTAGTGACAGAGGGAGGGGTGACTAGTGACAAAGGGCGGGTTGGGGTGACAGTGACAGAGTAAGGGAGGGAGTGACTAGTGACAGAGGGAGGGGGTGGGTGACTCGTGACACAGTGAGGGAGGGTGACTAGTGACAGTGAGCGGGGTGACTAGTGACAGTGAGGGGTGACTAGTGACACAGGGGGGTGACTAGTGACACAGTGAGGGGGGATGACTAGTGACACGGGGGGTGACTAGTGACACGGGGTGACTAGTGACATGGGGTGACTTAGTGACAAGGGAGGGAGTGCGACTAGGGTGACACAGTGACTAGTGACAGTGGGGGTGACTAGTGACAGAGTGATGGGTGACAAGTGACAGAGTGAGGGGTGACTAGTGACAGTGAGGGGTGACAATGGAGCATCTGAAAGTGACAGTGAGGGGGGTGACTAGTGACACAGTGGGGACTAGTGACACAGTGGGGGGTAATCTTAGTGACACAGTGAGGGGTGACTAGTGACACAGTGAGGGGTGTGACTAGTGACACAGTGACTAGTGACAGTGGGGGGTTGACTAGTGACACAGTGAGGGGTGTGACTAGTGACACAGTGAGGGGGGGTGACTAGTGACAAGGGGGTGACTAGTGACACAGTGGGGGTGACTAGTGACACGGGGGGGTGATTAGTGACAGTGAGGGAGGGTGACTAGTGACAGTGAGGGGTGACTAGTGACACAGTGAGGGAGTCATCCCCCTCACTGTGTCACTAGTCACCCCCCACTGTGTCACTAGTCACCCCCCCACTATGTCACTAGTCACCCCCCTCACTGTGTCAATAGTCACCCCCACTGTCACTAGTCACCCCACTGTGTCACTAGTGGGGGTGACTAGTGACACAGAGGGGGGTGACTAGTGACACAGTGGGGTGACTAGTGACAGTGGGGGTGACTAGTGACACAGTGAGGGGGGTGACTAGTGACAGTGGGAGGGGTGAATAGCAGACAGTGGAGGGGTGACAAGTGACAGGAGAGGGGTGATGACAGATAGGGGGTGATTGAAGTGACAGTGGGGGGTGGATTAGCGACAGTGGGGGGTGATTATGACAGTGAGTGACTAGTGACAGTGGGGTGACGATTAGTGACAGTGAGGGGGGGTGATTAGTGACAGTGGTGGGAGGGGAGGGGTGCCTACCACAGTTCTTCTGCTCCTTTGTGGTCTCTGGTAGCCTCGCTGGGCTCTACAGGTGCAGGAGTAAACAGTGAGGTGTCACTTCCTGTCCCTACCGCATCGCCACAGAGCCGCACGGAGGCTTTTGGTATCTGTGAGAGGAGGAAGCTGCCAGGTCTCATTGTGGCGCTTGGGGTGACTAGCAGAGCGGTAGGCTGTGGGGCCCCGCGCTGCATCAGGGGCCCCACAACCTATCGATTAAATAGTTTTATTTTATTTTTTGCTGTTCCAGTTGGAGAGATCTCTGATCTGATCTCTCCAGCTGGAACATGGCTGTGCCGTGCGGCCGGGCCCCTGACTGCCTCGGGCCCTCGGTCCATGACCGATATGCCCGAGTGGTCAGTCCGCCCCTGGTGGAGACACTGAATGTTTTGATGCATTTTAGGCAGCCATGACCCAAGAAGGATCTCTAACAGCCATCTGAGGAGTGGCCAGTGAAGTTATCACTAGGCTGTAATGTAAACACTGCATTTTCTCTGAAAATACAGTGTTTACAGCAAAATGCCTGAACGTAATGAATCTACTCACCAGAACAAATGCAATAAACTGTAGTTGTTCTGGTGACTCTAGTGTCTCTTTAAGTTATATTTATTGTACCCTGGTTATATCTTATATTGCTTTGTATGTTTTATTTTCTCTGTTTCAATAAAAATATTTAAACAAACAAACAAAAAAATATAATATATATATATATATATTTAGATTGGCATAAATGTAGTCCTGAGCTAATGTGTTATTTACACAAAACATGTTGGTTGAGACAAGTAGGCTTGTGTCAGGACATGGGCAAGTTTAAATATGATAACACTTGTTTCACTGTTGACACTCAAAACTGGAAAGCACACTCATAAATGGGATGTTGCTAACCACAGAAGCTGCATGAATGCATGCCAGGCTTACTGATAGTCTTTTGATTAAGAAGGAATTGTTGTCACCTTCTCTTCAATAAAAATGTTGTTTTAAATAATGAGATTTAGTTGAAGACCCCAGGAAATGCATGGTAGTCCACTTTTTATTTCTATATATGGCTTATATTGCATCACTGGTGTGACCCATTCCTGACACACACCCTGACTTCCCCCTGACCCCAATATCATGTAAGCCTATATTTAGATGAATTATTTTGTGGTTATCCATTTTAGAATGTTTATGGTGCATCAGCAGCCTGACTGTAGTCAGAAATTGTATTCTCTGACTGCAAAGATCCATCAGTGTTTGTTCTTTTTGTACATGTTCAGGTTTGGACAGGTGTAGAGTTCCATTTAAAGGGACACTCCACTGAACAAATACAAAATAAATAAAAATAACTGCTTAGTAGAAATACCCCCACAGCATGCATGTTTTTAATTATGCAATTTTTAATCTAAAAGCATCTTGCAAAACCTGTATTTCCATTGTCTGCAGCTTTACTAAGTCGTCCCCTACTAACCTTGCCCAAACTTTCTGTGGCTGTCCAATTATTATTATTATTATTATTATTATGATGATGTTTATATAGCGCCATCAAATTCCGCAGCGCTTTACAATGGGTGGACGAACAGACATGTAGTTGTAACCAGACAAGTTGGATACACAGGACCAGAGCGGTTGAGGGCCCTGCTCAATGACCTTACATGCTAGAGGAAGTGGGGTAAAATGACATAAAAAGATAAGGATAGTATTAGACTAGTGACAGTTGCAGAAGAGGAATCAGTCAGGAGCTATTAACAGTTTAATTGATACGCTTTTATGAAGAAGTGGGTTTTTAACGATTTTATGAAGGAGTGGAGACTGAGTGAGCATTTAACGGAGGAGGGAAGCGAGTTCCACAGGAACGGTGCAGCCCTCGAGAAATCTTGAAGGCGAGCATCAGAGGTGGGAGTATAGACAGAAGATAGATGTAAGTCTTCAGCAGATCGTAAGGGCCTAGATGGGACATACGTGTGTATAAGGGAGGATAGATAGGTGGGAGCAGCATTATGTAGAGATTTGAAAGCAAGAACCAGAATTTTAAATTGAGCTCTATATTGTATAGGAAGCCAATGTAGGGACTGATAGAAGGGTGAGACATGGGAGGTGCATGTGGACAGGAAGATGAGCCTCGCTGCCGAACTCATTATGGACTGTAACGGCGCAAATTGGGAGCACGTAAGACCACTGAGAAGCGGATTACAGTAGTCAAGGCGAGAAAGGACAGTGGAATGGACCAACACCTTAGTCGCATCTGGCGTTAAGTAGGGGCGGATGCGCGCAATGTTTTTGAGATGGAAATGACAGGATTTGGCGACAGATTGAACATGAGGCTTGAAGGAGAGGTCGGAGTCAAAGAGAACACCTAGGCAGCGAGCCTGCGTGGTGGAGCTGATGGTAGCACCGTTACTTGGAGGGAGACAGACACAGGAGTAACAACAATTCTTAAGGGTATGTAAGATGTTCGGGTAATCCTTAATCCAATTGCAGTAGGTTCCTCAAAGAGAACAAAAACAAAACAGGGAAAACTCGCCCTGGTGTTGAAATCCTTATGATAGCAGTATAAAATGTATGAATAAAGGTGAAGATTACTTCTCACATGGGTAAGAGCCTATGACCTGGCTCTAAGTATGTTAGCCCGTGAGTCCTTTTTTTGGGGGATGACTCTTTCCCTCTTTCAGCAGGATAGAAGATACTGTGATTGGTTGGAATGCGGTCTGTTTCCTCCAATCAGGACGAAAGGTGGGGATTTTAATTGTAATGAAGCAGGAAGAAAGTTACCAATTGAGAAAGCCGAGACAAATCGGCGAAACGCGTTTTGGACAAGCTACCAGTGTATTGTATGTATTTTATTGATTTTTTAATGTCTATGTAATAAATTTATATTGAATTGCATACACCTGGTATATCTTCTATCCTGCTGAAAGAGGGAAAGAGTCATCCCCCCAAAAAAGGACTCACGGGCTAACATACTTAGAGCCAGGTCATAGGCTCTTACCCAGGTGAGAAGTAATCTTCACATTTATTCATACATTTTATCTAACGGAGAAGGAAAGCGAGTTCCAAGGAACGGTGCAGCTCTAGAGAAATGTTGAATGCGAGCATCAGAGGTGGGAGCACGAACAGAGGATAAACGCAGGTCTTCGGCAGAGCGCAGTGGCCTAGACGGGACACAGTGGCGTACATACCAGTGTGTGTACCCACTGGGCCAGCCTCTTCCCCTGGGGGGCCCAGGAGCCGATCACCCCAGGGCCCCCCGAGGCTGGCCCTGCTGACCCCGGCGGGCAGGTGGCCGGTTGGGCAAGCGGGCGCGCGAGGGAGCACTCAGTGCTTCCTCTTCAGCTCCCTCGCGCACCGCACTGATGCCGGAGCGGCTCCGGCATCCCTACCAGGGCCGTCTTTAAGGAGGGGCAAAAGGGGCAGCTGCCCCGGGCCCAGTTACTCCTGGGGGCCCTAAGGCAGCTGCCCCATGGGCCCCCTGCGGCACCTGAGGTAATCAGGGGCCACAGCACTTTAATACTGCTCTGGACCAGCCCGG